AAAGCGCCTTGATAGTCTGAAACACAAACTACAGAGAAACAGTGAATTCGGCAGTGACTACAAAGAGTTCATGTTCAAGATTATGAGTGAAGGCTACGCCGAAAAGGTCCCACAAGAAGACCTACATCGGGCAGACGGCAGGGTGTGGTATATTCCGCATCATGCAGTTTATCATCCCCGCAAGCCCGATAAGATTAGAGTAGTCTTCGATTGTGCGGCTACATACCTGGGTTCATCTTTGAACAACGTCTTACTCCAAGGACCAGATCTCACAAACAGTCTGATGGGTGTACTCCTGAGATTCCGTCAAGAGGAGATAGCTATAATGGGAGACATAGCCACAATGTTTTTCCAAGTAAGAGTTCCCAGTGAAGACCGTGACTGCCTCCGATTCTTCTGGTGGCCAAATGCCAATCTCAAAGAGCAGCCGGTTGCCTATCGTCTGAAAGTCCACCCATTCGGAGCAGTGTCGTCACCGAGTTGCTCAAGCTTTGCTCTTAAGCAAACTGTTGAGGATAATGTTGGTGACTACGGAGAGGCTTCATGTGACATAGTGAAGAGAAGTTTCTATGTAGACGACTGTCTTGTCTCGGTTGGTACAGAACAAGAAGCTGCTCATTTGATCCAGAGTACCACAGCCCTGTGCAAACAAGGCGGCTTCCATCTGACAAAATGGGTGTCAAATAGCCATCAGGTTCTGCAGACGGTGCCAATAGAGGAACGGGCAAAAGACATCAGAGAGTTGTCGATGGAGAATCAGAACCTTCCCAATGAGCGAGCTCTGGGGGTTTATTGGTTTGTGGAATCAGACAGCTTGGGGTTCAAAGTCAGTTTGCCAAAGCAACCTGCAACACGACGAGGAATACTTTCTATCACGAGTTCAGTTTATGATCCTCTGGGCATCGCAGCTCCTTTCGTGTTGAAGGCCAAAATTCTCCTTCAGAGTCTTTGTCGACGAGACATAGGATGGGATGAAGAGATCCAGGGAGAAGATCTTAGAATCTGGAATCAGTGGCTCAGTGAGGTGAAAGACCTGGATCAGCTTAGGATCAGGAGATGCTACAAGCCTTCAGGGTTTGGGCAGGTTGTAAGCTGTCAGCTTCACATCTTTGCAGATGCTAGTGACGTAGGGTATGGTGTGGCTGCCTATCTCCGGCTTTGTGATGAATCTGGGCGCATCAGCTGTTCGCTTGTTACAGGCAAAGCAAGGGTTGCACCTTTAAAGAAGATGACTATCCCGCGTATGGAGTTGACAGCAGCAACCATCGCAGTTAGACTTGGCAAAGTGCTTACTCAAGAGCTGGACTGCGACATACACGGCACCTACTACTGGACAGACAGTATGACGGTATTGCGGTACCTCGCAAACGAGAGTTGTCGCTTCCAGACCTTTGTTGCAAATCGCATTGCAATAATCAGAGATGCCTCTTGCTTGCAGCAGTGGAAGTACGTGAATACCAAATTCAACCCTGCTGATTGCGCAACACGTGGTCAGTCAGTGAAAAGGTTTCTTCAGTGCTCCATGTGGTTTGAGGGTCCAGGCTTCCTGTCTCAGCCAGAAACAGAATGGCCTCAGCAAGATGCCGATCTTACCAAGCTACCAGATAATGATGCTGAGGTGAAGAAGACTGTGCTGATGACAGCAGAGACACCTATCAGTCCGGTTGACAGACTTCTGGAGCACTATTCAGATTGGACCAGGCTGAAACGGGCAGTTGCTTGGATATTGGTTGTGATGAAGCGCCTCCAAGATAGAGTAGCTGCAAGCGAGAGGTTGAAACAGGAGCCAGCACAGCAAGAGTTAGAACAGCAAGAACCCAATGCGTTGCACCGTTCACAGAAGCTCGAATCAGAGCAGAGCAGAGTTAAGCAAACTCTTTCATCAGGTGACAGAGAAAGTCTTAACCATACTCGACTTACCACAGAGAACCTTGAGGCTGCTGAGAGGGTTTTAGTGTACCATGTCCAGCAGAAACATTGGAAGGACGAAATCAAATTGCTCAACGAGACGGAGGGAAAACCATCCTCGGTAGTCAAGAAGTCTTCTTCATTGAGAAAGCTTGATCCTAAGCTGGTAGATGGACTTCTACGTGTTGGTGGTCGGATTGGTAGAGCAGATCTCGACTTTGAGTCCAAGCACCAGGTACTGATGCCAAGAGACTCACCTGTCTCCAGGCTTATTCTTCAGCATATACACAAGTCAGTTGGACACTTGGGCAAAAATTCCATCCTAGCAGAGCTTCGACGACATTACTGGATAATTGGAGCACCTTCTATCATCAAGGGTATCGTCTCGAGGTGTGTCACTTGCAGGAGATACCAAGCCCCGGCTGAGCAGCAGAAAATGGCCAGTCTGCCACGAGAGCGACTTGCGTTGAATGAACCTCCATTCAGCAAGGTTGGAATGGATTATTTTGGTCCCTTTGAGGTGAAACGTGGTAGAAGTATGGTGAAGAGGTACGGGGTCATATTTACTTGTTTGACTTCGCGAGCTGTCCACTTGGAGTTAGCGCATTCACTTGACACGGATTCATGCATCAATGCAATCCGCAGATTCAGTGCCCGTCGTGGATCATTAAAGAGCATTCTCTCTGACAATGGAACCAATTTGGTTGGCGCAGAACGTGAGATGCGTGAGCAGATGAGAACCTGGAACCAACAGAAAATCCATGACAACTTGCTACAGAAGGGCATATCCTGGCAATTTAATCCTCCAGCAGGATCACATTTTGGAGGAATATGGGAGCGTTTGATTAGAAGCGTCAGGAAGATCCTCTACTCTCTGATGCAAGAACAGCATGTTCATCTGAGTGATGAAGCTCTCCAAACTTTGTTGTGTGAGGTAGAAGCTATCATGAATGGACGACCACTTACCGAATGCCCTAACAGTCCCAACGACCTAGATGTCCTGACTCCGAATCATCTGCTTCTTCAACGGTCGGGCGAGAGTCTGCCTCCTGGGTTGTTTGACAAGCATGATAAATATCCTGTTAAGCAGTGGCGACAAGTTCAGTATTTCGCAGACCTCTTTTGGAACAGATGGTCGAAGGAGTACCTGCCTATGCTTCAAGAAAGGCAAAAATGGACCCACCCCAAGCGGAATGTGACTGTGGGAGACATTGTGTTGGTGGTTGACTCTTCGCCAAGAAACTCATGGGCGCTTGGCAGAGTACTTGAAGTTGTCAAGGACAAGAACGGATTTGTTAGAAGTGTCAAGTTGAAGACAAAAACTTCTACTTTAGTTCGCCCTGTAACAAAGCTTTGTCTTCTAGTTGAAGGCAGTGTTGAGTAGTTGTCAGTATTTACAGACATATTGTTATGCGTTGTATCCACCAAGATTTCAAGTGTTAGTTTAAAGATAATAGTAAAGTTTGACCTTGTTTATTGGTATTATGTAATTGCTTATTGATTAATAACCAATTAGAGGGCCGGTATGTAGCGGCCAAACTCAGATAGATTTCTTATTTTTGTTTTGCCAAGTGAGGGCGCTGTTGCGGGAATACGGGAGCTAAGCAAAAAGCAACATGGCTTCAGCTCAATCATGTCAATGACGACAGAATTTGCAACCTGTGGAATTCTTCGCCCAAAGCATTAACTGGCCAAGGTTTATTAAACGTCAATCTGTGCCTATACCTGAGCCTGACAAGTGTACGACTACCAAAACTGTCAGAAGTTGTACAAGACAATAAAATCTTCTGGATCTGCGCACAGCATATTTTCGTCAGTAATCTTTGGCAGATTCATGCAGTTTCTTTAACTTTGGTGGAGCAGCTGAACAGATTCCTGCGCAACAGTCCAAGAACTTTGTTTGCTTTAGTAGTAGAGTTACTTATGTGTTCGGCCCAGTTCAGTTTGTTGTTTAATTCTACTCCCAGGTAGGTGTGATTTGTGACTGTTTGGAGAGAATTTCCGTTTATCTTGTAAGATGACAGAAGAGGTTTCCTTTTGTGGGTCATGTGCATGGCGTAACATTTGGTGACGTTAAATCGCATCTGCCACTTGGACTCCCAGTTACAAAGGGTATCGATGTCGTTTTGTAGTTTCTTGTTGTCTTCTGGAGTTTGGACTTCACGGTATAATATGCAGTCATCTGCCAGAAGTCTCACTTGAGATGAAATTCCTTCCGGAAGGTCGGTGAGATACAAGATGAAGAGTAGCGGTCCAAGCACAGTGCCCTGGGGCACTCCTGATGTCACAGCTATTGAACTAGATGAACTGCCCTCTAAGACTACTTGTTGAGATCTTTTTGTAAGGAAAGTGTTGATCCAGTGGAGTAGAGAGCCAGAGATCCCAGCATGTTTCAGCTTTGACAATAATCTCTGATGTGGAACTAGGTCAAACGCTTTGCTGAAATCCATGATGATTACATCGGCTTGCCCTTGGTTATCTAGGATTTTAGCAAGGTCGTTTACGGTCAGGGTGAGTTGGGTTTCACACGATCGACCTTTGCGGAACCCATGCTGTTCATTGTTGAGAACGTTGTACTGATCAAGGTGACACATGATGTTAGAGTGGATAATATGTTCGAGCAACTTGTAGCAATACCATTAGCAGTGTTGAGTGTTGAGACACCAGTTGAGCTTTGCATGAGACTCTTAATGTATCTCCAAAAGGGCTTGGTGTTGTTTGATGTCAAGTCTTTCTGTTTATCATAGCTGTAGCCTATGGTATGAAGAAAGTGATTTTTTTTCAAATTTCATCCGTAAATTAAAAGCTATAGGCCTACGTGATAAACGAATTCGAGCTTTGATAAAGGGCCGTCAATGTCGTCACGTTTATTTGTAGCCGCGGTAACTGCCTTACCTACAATTTTTTTAGACGTGAGCGTTGGGAATATTTGTCAGGTCTGGGGACTAGACTATAAATTTCACGATCGCTTATGTCCCGTCAGGGCCACCGTACGCACATGTGCCGCGCGAGCTCGAAGGCAGCGCGCATACGTACGTCGTGTAAATGTACGTGTACGTGTCCGGTATCTGTACGTACGTGCACGTACGGAACCTTCATTTGTACCCATTCGATCGACGACGTCCACGGTCTAACTAGTTTTGCGTCACACAGCACAAAATATCGAGAATCTAGTGAGCTGGACGCGTCGATTTTAAGTCTTCCACTAAAGTCAAGGTATGTGTACAATCAGTATGAATTAGAAACTCGTGAAGTAATTGTGATCATGATGATTTCGCTCACATCATGCTCACATTCACAACCTCAAAGTTGAACAACATGACACACAACGCCAACGACCCTAGTCACTCATACTATCGATATAGTAACGCCAACGGTTAGCCTAGGCTATATTTACTTTGGACTTTGTAAATAGGCCGATTGATAATTCATCGTGACTTCTGTTCAGTGATTGGTCAGCCGGGTGGGTGTAGTAAAGGTGTGTGGTGGGTTGAGGGCTTGAGGCCAATGATCGGGGTCTAATGATAATCTTCACATTGTCAGGTTGGAGGATTTTTTTTTAAAGGGAAATAAAAGTCCAAATTTCATAACGTTCATGACGTTCAAATTCATTTTTTTCCTTCTAATTTTGTATTTTCTTCTCATGTTTTTATAAAAGTTGCAGCCTACCGACGACAGAAAATGGGAAATGCGTTACGGCTGCCGTAACAATAGCCACTGCGTTTTCGAAAACATTCAACTTTTTAGTTTTTTTTCAAGCGCAATTTACCCGAAAGCTTGAGCCACGGATTCTTTTACTTCTGCTACCGTAGGGTCGCCTTCAAAATCTACTTTTTCTGTTCGACCTCCTGATCTTACTCGTAACTTCATTTCTGGGCATTTATTTGTTCGAAAACCACGTCTTCTTTTCGTTGTTCTTTTCTACCATACAGCATACGACATGATCAGATGATGTACGATTATAAAATTGGGGAAGGGCGCCTCTAGCGGTAGGTAGGTAAACGCGCGTTCGGCCGGCCGGCCGGCCGGCTTTTCGTATAGGCCCGGCCGAATTTTTCATAGGCCCCGAATTTTTCGTAGGCCCAAAGCACATTGCCTACTGTACCTATTGGGTAAACTAGGCCTGGGGAGAATTTGAAAATTGTCAGTTTTTTTCTTTTCAATTTTCTTTTTATTCGAATCCCTCATTTGATCCGTGTCCAATGACGGTGTTCGTTTCACAGATAAGGATATTTGGTACAATGTTGACATTGGGAGTTCAAATGCTTGGACGTCATCAAACCGGATAAAAAAATAAAAATCTTAGGGCTATAAGAATCTTTCTGCCAAGTTTGGTGCTTTGGACCAGCCTGGTCACGATTCCGACCATAATGCCATATGATTTCCTAGAGTTGACGTGATGACGTGAGTACCAGAACAGATGACTCTTCCCAAGCTAAAGGAGCTGAATTAGAATAAGACAAACAAACAAATTAAAGTTCCCCGTAACTATTTTACAGTAATGCCACCTGACTATAATGAATAGAGACGTTCTTATGAATAGAACAGCAAATTGGGAACAATCTCATACGTTTTAACTGTGCCATGTGTTTTGATAAGTATACATCGACGCCACTTACTAAGTAGGCCTATGTTGGATCACAGCAGGCATAACGGATTCCGAAGTGGAAGATTCAAAAGACCCGACACGCCCACTCTGAAGTCTTATAATCAAAATGGCGGTTAAGTGGAATTTTCGCTGTGCATGCTGGGGGTTCATCTCGTCGCTCCTAGCTTCGGTCCTTCTCACCTATTGCTTTTCTCCTCAGTTTCATCTCGCCTTCCGAGTCATAGCAGGTGAGTTGTTGCTTTTATTGACAAAAAAAACCTTTTTAGGGTACTAAGTTGCAACTTTCTAAATTGTATATGGAACCTATACCAAGACGTATTACGTGGGAGAAGACTGTGTCTCCATCTTATTTCAAACGAGACCCACTCTATGGGCTCATTTGCTATATCATAAAATAATTATGAAGAGAACAGAAATTTACGGATAGCTGGAATAACGACTATACAGCCAATGGTCTTATCAATATAGTTGCCTGAGCTGAGGGCCATACTTATGTCCTCTTTGTACCAATCTCATCACTGACTGACCCACTGACTTACACACTCTCACGTATGGCTTAGCCTGGTTGTTTGCCGGTAAAGAGAGCCGGTCATTGCTCAATCCGACCAATTGTGTATGTACGCCACTGCATGAAAGACTTCCATCGCAGTGAATGGCCAATCTGAATCAACTAAATCCGTCCCGTTACCAGTTTTACCAGGCTTGCCAGACTGACTCCTATGAATCCATTTCATTGCATCAGGCGCTGCAGCAGTGCTGATTGGCATCTCATCTCTGATTGCCTTCCACATCTCGACTCTACGATGCTCTGAGAGCCACACATTCATAACCCATGTCCTACAAGTGACACCAGGGTGAACGTCTAGCTACGCCCTCCATCTCGGCAAGGGCCACTTACATGTGGAAACGTCCGCGTCCGGTTTCTTATGGTGCTTTCTGCAGTTCATTTGGTTAAAGATATAGTCCATCATTTGTAATTTGTGCATTTTGTTCGTTTGAAAATTTGTGCATTTTGTTCGTTGAAGCAACAAAACGAACTACTAATTTAAATTTCCCACGATGCGTCTTAAGAAGCACCGTTGGAGAGGCCTTCTTTCGTTGATTACTTCAAAATGACAGCCAGAAGGAATAATTTCACAGGGAGTTTAGTCCCCTTACTATCTTTCAACCAAGTATGCCTTTCAACAATAATTACGCCAGTTATTTTTCGGATAGCTGCAAATAATGGACTTACCTTTAAGAACCACGTCGTCGGTCGTCTTTATCCTGGATGACCTTTGACTGGAACAACTACATGCACAAGAATGAAGTATTACATGCCTAGTTTGGCTGATTTAGTGTTGAATGACGTCACAGCACGCATAGTCTATGTACACAATAAAAATGCGTCTTTGTACACGGCACGCCTACATTCCGTGAAAGAAAATCAGTCTAAATAATGACAATCTTACACTTCTTACTACTTTTTCATTTTAAGTCTCCTCTTTCGATACGTTTTTTTTTTTTACATCAATACCGATACTTGAAATTGTTAACCTGTGGTAAAATCTGATTCAAAAGTTTTGAAGAGACAACGAAGCTGATACAATAATGATGTTTTCCATGAAGCAATTGAGTTTAAATCAGAATGTCAATGGTTTGCGTGTAATTTGTTAAATTGCAACTCAAACAGATAATTGTAAAGAAAAATATGTTTTGTGTGAGGTATTGAGCCCATGGTTTATTCTGGTAAGTTGGAAGCCGGGTATAAATAAGCTCGACCCTTGAGGGCGCACTTTAACTACTTTAAAAGGGAATGTTTGTTGGATTTAGTGCGGGGCATTTCTTAAATTTCCTACCGAGTTAAAAATGCAACTGCAACAAAGCCTAGAATCATTAGAATGCACTATACCAGTTCAAATTTTCCAGATAAAAGTTTAAAAATTTGAGAGAATTACTTGCGATGAGGTTTTGGCATTGCCAAATAATGATATTATGTTGTTGTTTTTTCATTATGAACTGAAAAATGTGACAGATTTATCTTGTGTGGTATCTTTTATTTATGAAGTCACATGCTCAATCGACTCTTAGAGCTGTTCAGAGTGTTCGTCCCTTGTTTGAAATATGTACTCAAACACTACGGATTTAACAACTTGAACCCTAAACACTAAATAGCACAAAGGTGACCTGCCATATCATAATGAGGAATATCCCCCACCTGCGACTCTTCAAGCTACGTAAATCATGTTAAAGCACAAATCATTGGCTTTTTCAATGATACAAAATCTGTTTATATAGCTAAATTTATTCCAAAGATATGCCGCAGGAACTTCAACAGTGTCCCGCCGAACTTCGCCAACCTCATTTTGTAAAAAAAACGGCTTTGAAAAAAAAAAAATACGCATTGCGTCGCCAACGGCAGTGGAAAACGTGAAATTAAGTTTCCAACTTTTGGGAATTTTTTTTTTACCAACAAAAAATACACAGTGTGAATCTTGGAAACCTTGGCTACTCAAAAATTAGAAGAAAAAAAAACATTGATTTTGACATGATTTTTCTAGTGCATCCAACTTCAGGCGTTGATAACTCAGGACATGGTTTTGGGGGACATTCCTCATTTTGCCACAGTAGGTAAAAAGGGTTAAGTGGGCACCCAAACCTTAGGCACCTTATTACTGATCTTGTCTCCCCCTCCATCGACTTCGGTTCATTCTTGAAGGTTTGGACGAAGCGCCCTGCAAGTCATTTGTCGTTGGGTGATAAGGAGCTGAAGCTATGTGCCACACTCCATGGTGTTTCAGGATCCTTAATTCCTCTGATTTGAACTGCGGACCATTGATACTAACAAGTTGCTTAGGGACAATGTGTTGGGCGCGAATGCCCCTTAGGAGATCAGTCGTCCAGCTTGATAGTGAAGTGGTTGTCTGGAAGAATTGAGGCCGTTTTGAATGTGCATCAACCGTTACCAGGTCTGTCCTTAGAATAGGCCAGCGCAGTCGATGTGTAGGGTTTCGCGGGCCATTACCCAATTTGATATGGAGTAGAGCTTAAAAGGGCACTGCGTCCTGAAATCCCCGAAAATTTCATGCTTTGGATTGTTTACTTATCCTATTTCAAACATCTGGTTGAAAGGAAACCAATCTATAATGTCTAACCGTTTTCTGAAAAAAAAGACGGGAAAAAAACCCCGTTTGTTTACATCGGACACGACGGCGTACGCATACGTTTTTCCTATATGAATTTCTTAGCGCAACCTAAACGACAGGCTTCCGCTGCATTTTGTGCAAAGCAGAAATCCTCCAGAAAACCTCAAAAAACGCACGATTTTTTTCCTTTTTGAGAGCATAACTTTCGAACCCTCGATGCTTTTGTAACCTGGAAAAATGACACACTTGACTTGGGGATTCAACTCGACACAAATAATTTAATACAAGACCAGGATCTAAGAACAAGTCGCGAACTATTTTATTAAGAAAAGGATTTTAAAATGAAACAAACTTGAGACCAAAGCTGAATAAAAAAACCTTTAAAACCAAAAAAAAAAACCAATGATAAAAACTACAAGTTACCAACAGTAAAACCAACTTAAAAAAAATTAAAAACCAACACAGAGCGTCAAAATAGTGAA